ACTATAAATTAACATAAAATATAAGCAATAATTGAAAAAGGCATAAATTAATTACACTTCTAAACTCAATTTGAATGACAACCTAACTAATTCATAATTTTAATTAGTTTGGTCAATCATATAAGTTCGACTTTTATTTAAGTTATAAACAAGATATCAATAAAATCAAATTGATCAAGTTAAATATTAAAACAAATTAAATTATAACACAAACACATACATGTAATTTTACATTTTTTATTTAAAAATAAAAATCAAATTAGCTTATTTTGTTTCTATTTTGTTATTTTAAAAGACATCCCCTTTCTTCTAACTTGGAACCTCACCAAATAATATTGTACGTAATAGTTATATTTCTCTCTCAAAAATATAACACCTATATTTTTTTTAAGACAAAGTGACAACACTTATTCCTTACACACTTAAATATTTTTTTACTTACACTACCATCAGGTTTTTAAGCTTTGATGCTAATTATTATCAATGAGAAAAATATTCACACACACAACGAAAACGAAAAAGAGGGAGGAAGAGGTTTTGAAATTCACACGATTGATTCAATTGGATTTCAATCAAAAATGATTCATTTAGTTCTTGCAGTACATATGCATACGCTGTCTTTTATAGACATTATATAATAAAAATATATTAATACTTAATTGCTAAGAAAACTAAAACTCCAATTCATACAATAATTCTTAATGGTTACGCTACTCATAATGGAGATGCAGAAAAAAAAAAAAAAGCAAAATTATTCTCTGAGGCGGTGCAGCAATATGGGGGTGATGAATTCTTATTGAATAAGTTATCAACATAATTAATTTAATATTTGACTCACAGTTGCAGAGATGAATAGTAAATACTAAAAATATTAGATGAAAAATTGGCCAACATGAGCAATCTATGAAACAGGAATATCTCATCACCTAGCAGATGCCATTTTTTCCTTCTTCCATTGATCAATGTTCTTCTGTATTGTCAACATTTTGTATCACTAATACCTCCATTTGTTGACAAGTTGGATACTTTGAGCAGTGTTGTTTCACTGTTGCTTTGATGAGTAGTGGGTATTGCATATGTTCCATATTCCCCTCCCCTAAGGTGTATAAGAAGGGCATTTCTTACTTTTCACGTTATATCAGATTTTGATAACAGAGATATCTTAACATAGGACTCGGCATTTTCAATTTAAAATAGACATAATATGCCCAAAATATACATATATATATATATATATATATATATATATA